CTTCACTCCTTCCTCCTCTCCCTCTTCCTCCTCCTTTTTTCTCTTCCCCTTCTTCTTCCCCTCCTCCTTCTCCTCCTCCCCGCCAAGGACGCTCCGCCCCGCAACGGCCCGCCGGGCGCCCCGGCCCGGGGAAGAGCGAGCGGGCGGGCGGGCGGACGAGCGCGGGGCGGCGCCGGCCGACAGGCGGGCAGGGGGCAGCCGAGCCCGGCGCGCTTCCCACCCCGCCTCTCCCCGGAGCCGCGCGGCAGGTAGGCGCCGGCGGGCGGGGGTCTCTCGGGCGGGGCGGGGCGGGGCGGGGCGGGGCGGGGCGGCGCAGGGGGGCGGGGCGGGGGCGGGGCGGGGTCCCGCCTACCTCGCGGGAGCGCTGTGCGGGGCCGGAGCAGACGGCGCGGACTGGCGCCCGGGCGGGACCCTCTGACGGCCGCTCCCCGGCTGTGCTTGACCCCTTGCAGGCCCGGCGGCGGCGGCGGCGGAGGAGGAGGAGGCGAGCCCGGCGGCGGCGGCGGGGCAAGATGCATCTGGAGGATGGCTGAGGCCGGCCGGGCGAGGGCTGCTTCCCCGGCGGCCCCGAGCGGAGGCGGCATGCGGGGGCTCTGGCCCGCCCTGCTCTGCCTGCTCCTGCTGGCCGCCCCCGGCTTGCCCATGGCTGACCTGGCCGACGGGGCCACCCGGGAGCCCGCAGGTGAGCAGCCCGCGGGAGGGAAGGAGGCGGCGGCGGCGGCGAGCAGCGGGCTGGACTAGATGCCCTCCAAGGACCCTTCCCACTCCCTCATCCTCTGCCCTCAGCGCCGCGCAGCTGCTTGGCGGGAGGTTCGGGCGCCGCGGGGAGCCGCCTGGGGTGGCCGGGCTGCGTGGGAGCTTCCTCGGTCCCGCTGCTTCCCCCTCGGCCCCTTTCCCCGACGGAGACCCCGGAGGGCTCGGCCTCCCCCCCGCCCTTCGCCCGCTCCGAGGGCCCTTCGCGGCGGTGGCTTGGAAACCTTTCCGGGAGTTTCCCCGGCGAAACTCCGCCGCGCTTGGGCGAAACGGCCCCGGGGGATGGAGCGCTTCTCCCCGGGAGGCTCGGCGGGGGAGGCTGCTTCGCTTGGGGTCCCTCTCCGACTCGGGGCGCCTCCGGGACCCCGGAAAGTTCGGCCGGGCTCTCGGAGGAGCGGCGCACCGGGTCGCCTCCCTCCCTCCGGCCGCGGCGGTTCGGCTGCGCGCACCTTTTCTCCTCCTTCTTCGGTGGAGGGAAAACGGCGGGGCTCCCCTCCTTTGCCCCGGGCTGATAAAATAATAATAATAATACCAAATTATTATTATTATTATTATTATTATTATTATTATTATTATTATTAT